TTAGCCTGTCTGAGGCCTTCTACTACAGATGGCTTTATCTGATTTTCTGTAAGATCTGCGGCCGTCATTATTCATGGATCTGATTGGATGACAAAGAAACAATATGGAAGTCCAGTTGTAGAACATTTATCATTCATGCTTTCAGTCGTATAATCCTAACCATTAAGTCATTTAAACATCGGCATTGCTGACTGAGGGCTTTGAGCTGCACATCTAACTTTCACTAAATGAACTTGCAACCAAAATCGAGCCTAGGTAGGACTTTCACAATACTTTTAAATACATATTGGAGACACCCCACCCCCAATTACCAACCAAAGCCTTACAGTGAGGGCGACCGTCACAAACAGGTTTGCTATTATCTATAGAAAAATGACATAGATCAACAGCTTGTAAACTTTAATTTGGTCAAAATAAAGTAACGTGCATCTATAGTGATGAAAAGATACAAAACCTACAAGTTTGGACTGAAGAAATCACCAAGATTTGTCTCCACTTGCCTAGTAGGTAAATGATGATGAATATTAACTACAAGTTAATTCTATGTGCTAGAAGAACAGACTTCAGGATGATATGACTGACCTGAATATGCTATCTTTACCATTAGTGACTTTTATGTGACGTAGAATCATGCCTTACATTTATTTTGGGATAAAAATTGTACAATGCATTATTTAGGTGCGCAAATAAATAATACCTTACTTGCCAAATTACAAAGCCTCTTCTCCTTCATTAAAGATAATTAATCACTTATACCACTTTTTGTCATTTATGCAAAGTTTTGTCTAGATGATGGCATCGTGCTTTTTTGTTACCAGCAAGTATACTTTGTAATTCTTGCCAAATTGCATGGTATAACATATTTATTGTTTGCCTGCTTGTTTAATAATAATAATAATAATAATAATAATAATAATAATAATAATAATAATAATAATAATAATAACAAAAATAATAATAATGATGATGATGATAATAATAATAATAATAGTAATAATAAGAATAATAACAACAACAAAAAAGATAATAATAATAATAATAATAGTAATAATAATGGTGATTATTATAATTAATAATAATAATACTGATGATGATAATAATAGTAATAATAATAATAATGCTAATAATAATAATAATAATAATAATAATAATAACAAAAATAATAATAATGATGATGATAATAATAATAATAATAGCAACAATAAAGATAATAATAATAATAATAATCGTAATAATAAAAATAATAATAATAATAATAATAATAATAATAATAACAACAACAACAACAACAACAATAATAATAATAATAATAATAATAATAATAATAATAATAATAATAATAATAATATTAATTCTAATAATAATGCTAATAATGATGTTAATAATGCTAATGCTAATGCTAATGCTAATAATAATAATAATAATAATAATAATAATAATAATAATAATAATAATAATAATAATAATAATAATAATAATAATAATAATAATAATAATAATTTGATCCAAACATGGCTGGAACAAGTAAACAAGTTGCATGACACGTCCCAGAAAACCTAATTAAGCAAGCACAACATATTCCAAATAGACTATGCAGCAACGAGTAAAAATAGCGATCTGAAATTAGCACAATGAAAAGTAAAAATGTGGTTCCAGCTCGCTAATGAAATTATTGAACCGATTGTTGCCACTACCGGTACAGACATTTAAATTCTAAAAAGCATGCGAACTTAATACGGAAAGTCTTAATGGGTTGTTAACATAGCTAATTAACTACTGGGATGAATCATTGTTAGAGGACTAGTTCAACTTGAGCATGCTTTGTTGTAGGGATAACATTGCTCTAGGAAGGTCATTTTAGTTTTAAAGCTATATTCGCTTTCTTCTAACTTTCTCCTTTTTTAAATTCACTTTCTTTGTTATCTTGACATTTAATGAAAATAGGGTTCCAATCCTTGTTCAGAAATGCTTTGTGTTCATTTTTCAATATGATCCAGTTTTCACCAGATCATTGGATGAGCATACTCTCGAGTTTGATTTGTATGACTTTTTAAATTAATCGATGACATTGTGATTTACTGTTCAATTCTTGAAAAAAAAAACATTATATAACTTTCTTTGCATACTGAATTAGGGTCTTTATCTGAAGGAATTACCATGTTCGCCGGTTTTCATTATTCTTCATTTACGTTTAAATCATTTCTTTGTAGATTTAGAAGACATTGGCGAAAAGCCTATCTATTAAGGATCATATCATTAACATTTCTAATCCATGAAATATTACACAACTCCCTTGAGCTTATTCCATAAAATAAACACAGTAGGTTACGCGGTTATTGCTTTACAATGTTGTAAATATGGACGAATAAAAAGTATTGTTTGGGTGAAAATCTTACGTAATCATAAATTAACGTGAAGGCACACTGTTTTGTTTCATTGAGGTAATTAAAAACATTATATAAAATTTTAGTATTTCGAATCTTGTAAACCTTTAAGTACCTCTTACACCAAAGGGTATTTGCTATTAAATTTCATTTATTTTGTAGCCACATTTTGCAATAAAATTGGTCACTTAATTATATATCGTCTCTCTTTATCATCTTTTGAAATATATGTGATAACTCTCCGAGACTGAAAATCGGACAGAGTTTTGTTTTCATTCTTAGAAATTAAGGAACTATATTTAAATCAGCATGATGCCTTTAAAAAGTCTATCAGAACAGGGACTGTTTTCAATTTTTAATGCTAAACAACACCTACTAGATGTCAGATTACCATCGCATTAGTTTTTCTCAGCAAAATTTGTAATTTTGTTTCATGCATAAAGACGTGTTTATTTGTTTGTAGATCAATATTTATTTTGCTTTGATAAAGTTCTTCAAAGAAATCGGTTTTGTTAATTCATTATTTCATATTGCTCTGTTAACCTTTCCTCGTCATTCAAATTTAACTCGTTCATTATTTTATTACTGCAATATTTTACGTTAAGTAATAATTTATAATTCATTTAAGCAATTTTATGCGATCTTTGACATTACACTTTTTATATGAATCTCCATATTTCTTCTGAGCTGGCTTGTTTATTAGTGAATATGGGATCTTTTATCATTTCTTTTATGAAGCAATTAGCTTAACGTAAAATTTCAGCTTCATTTTTTAGCATGTTGTTTTTCTTCTATTACCCTTGCATGCGAATATTTAATTATTTCAGTTCTACTGTTCATTCTAAGAATGTGATGAAAGACAGGTTAATTAAATGCTAAAATTATTTCCAGAGAAAATTTTATTACATTCAAATTTTACGTGACAAGGGCTCGTACTCAGTAACAAAGAAAAGAGTGAAAGCCATCAAGCTTTGTATATTTTAACAAAACAATTTGTTTCCCTAGACAACAATGAAAATTTGGTAAATAGGATTTACAGTCTGTGAATATAATCTAAAATATGATCCTAAGAATGAAAACACAAGTCCTAACACTAAACAGTCCTATAAGAATCCAGGTTCGAGTCCCGACGACGTATAAATATGGAAGGCGACGACGTCAGATGTAGTCCAATATATGAATAACAATAATTCTTCACTTGAAAAACAGTCTTTGTTTTCGAATAATTCCAGAACAAATTTCCTTGAATATTTTTCAGAATGTTTTATAAAAAAAAGTCAACTTGTTGAGTTTCCAGGGGAATAAATCACTAAATCCAAAACCCAGACGAAGAATAATTATAAATTACACTTTGTTCCTTCTAGGTGTTAGAATGACTGTATGCAAAAATATATGGAATGCGTATTTAAAACCCCAGACTTCATTTCAAGTCTCGCGAGATTGGTTATGTTGTTGTTGTTGTTGTTGTTGTGGAGTTTAACGCCATTTTTCAGCACACGATAGGCTATACATGGCGGCCAGTATTAATGGTGGAGGAAGAAACCGGGAATGCACCGGAAAGAACCACCGACCCACGAGAAGCTACTGGCAAACTTTCTCACATATCCACATTCGCCGAATCTTAGACTCGAACCCACGCAGACAGAGGTGAGATGGCAGTGATCTGTAACGGACAGCGCTTTAGACCACTCGGCCACTCGGGGCCCCGATTGGTTATGTGGTCTCTTACTTCACTATTTTGATCACGTCCGCCAGTATCAACCCACTTAAGAACCAATCATAAAAAAGTTTGTTTACACCCAGTGATCGCGCAATGAATGTATGACCCTTATATTGATCAATCATTTTAACTTCCTGTTGACACTGTTACCATGGTAAGACGGACTTAGTGATAATTCTCACGTAATACAAATTCCTCTTGAATAAACAAACTTTGTTATGAAAATATATCGTATCACTGAAAAAGAATATATAAAAAAAGCATTGCAATTAAATAAAATGAAACAAAAATGAAATAAAATAATTATAAACATTTCACACAAGCAATTTAAATACATATACATCACACAATGTAGTATTTAAAACACATTTTTCTTTATAATTCAGTTGCATTTGTTTTATTTTAACGGTTATGTATTGAATTTCCAATAATCATGACCTCTGTATAGTGCAGATACTACTACTACTACTACTACAAATAATAATAATAATAATAATAATAATAATAATAATAATAATAATAATAATAATAATAATAATAATAATAATAATAATAATAATAATAATAATAATAATAATTAATAATAATAATAATAACAATAACAATAGCAATAATAATAATAATAATAATAATAATGTTACGGTTATAGCAGAGTAACATGTTTGTACCCTGACACATTAGCTGAGATCAATAAATAGTTTAATCTACTTTGTTCCATAGGACTGAGCTGTCGCCAGGTAAATTATCTAGCATCTAGACTGACTAATCTCCATGGATCTCCTAAATTCTTGCACTGGGGATTTCTGTTATGAATATTATATGCATCAAGTTCTCATAAACAACGTTCTTTTCAAAACCTATACTATTAGTTGAATTATCAAAATTAACACCGCTCCGATGGCCTATTGGTTAAAGCGTCCGCCTCAAATATGGGAGGTCGCGGGTTCGAACCCCGGACGATTCATACCAAAGACTTACAAAAAGTACTAACAACTGCCTTGCTTGGCGTTGATTATTTTGTTTGTTTAATTTAGTTGTGAAGTTTTTCTCAACCTAGAATCGATGTTGTTTGCATTAGGAAAGTATGTTGACTGCCATTGTCAGCTAGTAATTTACAGCCCACAGTGGAGTGTTAGAGTTTATCTAAGAGGTCTAGTAATTTCATAATTATCGTTAGGAATGCGAATAGCTGCTAGAAAATATATAAATTCAAGATAATAGTTTGCTGGTGAACCAGATCAGATTGCGAACTGATCATTGTTTATGTTGAATTACGATATTTTGGTTGGGTTTAATATTAATTGGAAGGAAAATAGTTCCATACACATCTATACCTGTACTGCATAGTGGAAAAGAGCACAGCCTGCAACCAAGAATGTTGATGACCGGATGAGAGAGAGAGAGAGAGAGAGAGAGAGAGAGAGAGAGAGAGAGAGAGAGAGAGAGAGAGAGAGAGAGAGAGAGAGAGAGAGAGAGAGAGAGAGAGAGAGAGAGAGAGAGAGAGAGAGAGAGAGAGAGCATACAGTTACCTTGACTTATTGCCAACAGTGATTTGTAAAAGACATGAAGTATCCAGGTGATAAAGACATGCCGGCAACTTGAGTTCGATCCGATTATCTGAAGAAATTTGTCTTTTGAGTGTAATAGAACGGCAAATTGAATTTTGCATAAAATTGTGTAACTGTTTCTGAGAAAAAGCAAATCATTCAATGTCATGCTCAATTTAATTTTGTTCATGTAATTGATGAAATTGTTATATTTTATATACAGGGGCGTGTGTTGTTCTTTTCTAATCAGATCTCTATTATTCCATGTATTAATTTCATATTTTATATTATTGTTTATTCTGATACACGTGCTATATCTCTGCTTAAATCTTTATTATTCCACCCACTAATTTTATATTTTATTTTATTATTCTATTGCACGTGTTATTCTAAATATCTCCTCAAATCTCTAATATTACGACCATTAATTCATGTTTTATTTTATTGTTTATTCAGTCCGGGAAATAACACCACGGTCGATCATCTCCTAGATAACGATATCAAACACAACTCAGACAAACATTACAGCTAGAACGTCAACAAAAGTGTAGCGCAAATGACAATATCGGATTACGCCTTAATCAGCTGAGACGCATGGAATAAACTCGCAGGTTCACACACACACACACACACACACACACACACACACACACACACACACGCACACACACACAGATATACATGTATGTATGTATGTATGTATGTATGTATGTATGTATGTATGTATGTATGTATGTATGTATGTATGTATGTATGTATGTATGTATGTATGTATGTATGTATGTATGTATGTATGTATGTATGTATGTATGTATGTATGTATGTATGTATGTATGTATGTATGTATGTATGTATGTATATATATATATATATATATATATGTAATCCCAGTGTGACGGATCATAAGAATACCTTATACTAAATTGTTGGATATACACATGTAAGTACAAACGATTACAAATATCGGGAGTATGATTTACACCGCCATAATCCTTGATTAAGTAAAGGCAGGTACGTACACTTACAAATTAGCGATTATAAAATTATTCTTGCAATTACCATTGAGTAATAGCCTAATAGGTGATTATATAGTTTCACGTAGAAGATTGTCCCTGCCTGGGTTTTTAAATAATAATAATAATAATAATAATAATAATAATAATAATAATAATAATAATAATAATAATAATAATAATAATAATAATAATAATAATAATAATAATAACAACAACAATAATTGAATCAAGAACAACACCATCATCATTCATGAATATATATACATTGTCACCATCATCACCACTACCTTTACAGTCACTATTATTGCTATTTGATACGAAATATATCCATTATTATATTATATATTAAGCATTGATCCTCTCAAGCAGCAAACTGCCTAAATTATCCTTGTAATTATATGGGTAAACCCCATAGATTTACGATTACAACTGTCAGCCAAATGCTAAGGAGACTGAATAATATAAAAGCAAAGTGCTCATTTATACTACTTATATTATCTATTTACACGATGAAATCAAGACAGTTTGAGAACCAAGCTGATAATGAAGACCCAAATTTGAATTCTCTAAAACTTTTTTCTCAATCTAGAAATCTGTACGAATATCTTGTTAATGCATTTGTAGTTTCTGACTAATTATTTATTCGTTGTGTTAAATCGGCAAAATTCATAACTAATTTTATTACGTACGAAATATCATACTATTCTAACAACTGGAAAGTCATATACTAACAGGTTAAGTAAAAAGAGGTATAAAGAAACATCTGCTCCGTCCTTATTACTTAAATTATGGACTCAATCCATGGTTTTCTAACCCGATTTGACGGTGGAAAGATTTTTAAACTGCATGTTTAAACTTTACAAAAACAAAATATATTATTCTGATTTTGAACTAATCACAATATCAATATTTTCAAGAAGTTGAAGCTTATGCCTTTCTCTGCATTTTTTTTTTTTTTTTGCGTAGACCTGGTAGTTTAAGCGCCATGCACATTCTAAATACGACGTTGAAAGTATTTGGGTCAGACCCTGTTTAGCTGGGTAATATTTTCAGTCAGCCTTAATAACAGTTTTTCTTTCAGCTTCCATTTGTCCTTTACACAAGCTCTTTTGGCATCAAAATTTTCAAGTTTCATGATTATTGGCTTAGGTATACCAGTGAGCCGCGAATTCTAGCCATGGTAAGCACGTCTCCTTGATCGATGTCTCTACCTTCTGCTTCTTTCACTAATTGTGCATGTTAGGGTGTCAAGTTTTCATTTTGCGTCTCAGCCATACCAATTTTATTATTTTTTTGTTAGTATTACTCATGGTGTTAATATTAGAGTTGTCACGCAGATTTGCATAATTATATCCACAACAGAAGTCAGTAAATTATGATATCAATAATCTGTGTACATAGAGGTCCATAGCAAAAAGACAGGGGGGCGGCGACATCTAAAACTGGCAGAAAAGGTCAAAAATATATAATTATTAAGCAGTTTTATCATTAGAATTCAAAAAGAATATATTCATTTTATACTGCAAATTATGCAGCAACTGTTAGAAGATATAAGCAAAGAGCAAGCAGTCGCTTACTGGTATTTAACCGCTTCGGTGACCTAGGGGTTAGAGCATCCGCCTCGGATGCAGGAGGTTGTGGGTTCGATCCCCGGTCGAGTCATTCCAAAGGCTTACACAAATGGTATTAACAGCTGCCTCTCTTGGCTCTCAGCATAAAGAGGTTAGTGTCCGGATAATGTAAGTAAATGGGACATCATGTTACATGTCTGCGTCATGATGCCCAAGTGCTAGACATCACTATAAACTGCCACACTGCATAAATCATAGCGATATGATTGAAAAATGGTAAAGCTACATTGATATCATAATCACAGCACATCACGTCACTAGTATTTCCAATAAAAATCACTCATCACACTGTTATCCGTAACAAAACACACCCACCCAACACACACTCTCTCTCTCTCTGTCTCTCTCTCTCTGTCTCTCTCTCTCTGTCTCTCTCTGTCTCTCTCTCTGTCTGTCGCTCTGTCTGTCTCTCTCTCACTCTATCTCTCTCCATCTCTCTTTCTATCTCTCTCTCTCTCTCTCTCTCTCTCTCTCTCTCTCTCTCTCTCTCTCTCGATCTACACTAGCTTGTGGCTCTTGAGGCTATCTTAATCAACATGATTCATAATCCTTCAGAAATAATTTCATGAGTCTTGGAAAAAAGGAATATTTTGATCTTCATGAAAGAGAGTAGAGGATTTTTTTCTGCAAATTGGCTCCGAAGTTTACGAATATGTTATCAGCTTTATTTGTCTGAAATTTAGCTGCTAAGGATAATGCGTTTCATTTCGATATTCAAAATAATCGAATGAAAATGTTAGAAAAGTGGTCTCCATATTGCAGTTTGGGGGAATTCTAAATTGTTTACGACATCACAGTTTTTGTTGGGGGGGGATGGGCATATAATATTATCTTTGGTAGTTAACCAAAACAACTAAATATGAGTCAAACAAGTTTATACAGAGAAAAACAAATTAGCATTTCAAATAAAATTTAAACTATATTTACAAGCATTAGAAGTATTGTTGCTGCGTTTCTTAGTTCCAACCCACCACCCTAAAAAAGATAAAAAATCTCTTGGGACAAATGACGTTTTTAAATTGTCTTGTTTTTAAACCAAAAATACATATGCAAGTTTTTCTGCTAACATACTCTTCTGAAATTTAATAACACTAATAATAATAATAATAATAATAATAATAATAATAATAATAATAATAATAATAATAATAATAATAATAATAATAATAATAATAATAATAATAATAATAATAATAATAAACCGTTTGAGCTCGTATCGATCAGAACAGCGTTAGTCCCTGTTGTCAACAAGACAGTTTATGGGGTCTGAAGAAAATGACTGAGTAGCTTTTTTTATTGCCTAATTCAATCGGAACACTGTCGCCTTTTTCCATCAATTAGAGGGTGTAACTACATGCAGACTTCGAAAACGCCAGCGCAATCCTCCGATTGACTTTGATAGTACAAGGGACATAACTCCACGTTTTGTCGGTTGATAGTTGTCTTGTTTCCACTTCTATGGCCCCTTATAAATCTACATGCATTAGATTCACCACAAAGGAAAGCAACAAATTCCGGTTGAAATAAAGGAAACGAAACCGATCGTATTAAACCATTTTCGACTTCAGAATGATAAGAGAATTTGAAATGTATATTTAATGGAGTTAGCTTTATCTGTGCTTTTATGCTCAGGCAAATGATCAAATAACGATTAGGATTATATCTGTTAATTCTGTAAATATATCTGTTAATTCTGTAAATATATCTGTTAATTCTATTGATATGAACATTATATCTGTTAATTCTATTGATATGAACATTATAGCTTTTTATTCTATTGATATAAACAACTTGATATAAACATCAGGATACAGTTATCTTAAAGAAAAGAGGAAAAGCTCAATAAGGGAATTGGTTAAGTTTTAAGGACATTTTGTTCATTCAGATATTGCCATTTTTGGTGGTATGTAACGGTATTATACCATTTTTCATGTATCATCCTTAGAGCTGACGAACAGTGTCAGTGTATGCTGTTTAATTTTTGTATTCATCACCATAACGTTGATATGTTCAGAGTCTATTTCTCCGCCCAACCATATAAACCTCTACCTTCTTGTTCTCTAGCTACAGATTTTGTGACCGTGCGATAGTGTTTCCAAAATATCTAAATCAATGTGAAAAGTAATACTTTTTGCTGAAAGAGGTCATCTCATGCGATTTTTATAGCTTGCATAATTTTGTGCTTATATAAGTAAAAGGTGACTCCGAAGATCAAGGAAATTTTCATCTCGACTTATCAATGTTCGGCCATGCGTGTATATGGCAACTGTGGATATTGACAAAAACAGGTCTAAAAATCAGTCTATAGCAAAGATATGTATCTAGCTAGTTTTTCAAATAAACGTCAGACATGATCTTGATTTGATATGTTGCTATGTAATCGCTGTAATGTTTATTTTTCAGCTGTCTATAAAATTTAACAGATTTAAGCTGAAAAATATTAAAACCGGATTGAATTTTGAAACACCTAGACTAGCAAACATAATATACGTTTGCATCCTAGTAACAATAAAGAATAATGCCATGAGTTTACTGAAGGAGAAAATCTGCATTTGTTTCCATTAGAACCCACGCTTATAAATTTACTATCCTTGTTTAGAAACTTGACGATTCCAAGGACCCATTTAATCTATTAATATTGGAAATATCTGAAAAGAAAGTATGTTAAAAAACTAATGAATTCAAATTCTGAACGGTAAGTCCACACACAAAGAACACTTATGCTGACCTGTAATCTAAATAGTCGGTTGATGTTCGTATTTCTTATAGTTCTTGTATTACTGTTACTTGTTTTAAAGGTTGTGATTTTGATATAGCATTTTATTATCATGGCACTAATCCAATAATCATTGTATCAATACCATCGTCATCTTTATTTCGTTATTTAGAAGATTACTAATGCTAATTAATTAGGCATAATTAATCATTTATTACAATCATAAAACTTGCATTCTAAAAACACAAATAGACAAGTACAGCATAACACTAGGCATATAAATAATAAAAGATGTTGGCAGATATGCAGCCTGACATGGTGTTGAGAAGTCCATAGTAAACCAGTCGCAGATGAGAATAGAATTTCGTGCATACACAAAATGTAAAGATATGAAAATTACGACTAACATAACAAAGTACGTCTATGCTATAAAATGAAATATTAGACACATGATATTTATATTATATCCATCATTAGATTTTGCATGAACTGCGGAAGTTGCACGTCACAAAATCTCTCACTTTGTGTTGGTTTGAGTCTCAGGCTCGGGCAGTGTGGGTATGTGAAAAAACTGCCAGTAGCTTTTCCCTGTTCGGTGGTTCAAACAGGAATTTGCCGGGTTCTTCCTCTATCACTTATACCCCCACAATGTAGAGACTATCTGCTGTTAAGAAATGGCATTAAACCAAATAACGACAAGAAGAACAACAGCATTACCACTATTCGTAGTACCTAGTTCTACACTGTGTGACCAGTATGCTGCATACCGGACAAATAACTTGGGAGTTTTCGTCGTCAATTACATCCGCTGATAACCTTTAACCTAGAAGATATTGCAGCTGCAGATAGATCATCTGTATTAAATAACATAACATATAGGCTCAGTGTAGAGTCATCAAACAGTATATTCCAAAAAGAGTGCCAAGTCTGTATCAACATTCCTTAAATCGAATACATCGATTACACATCGGGCTATGATTAAGCAAAAAGCACTCAGCTATATAAGTAAATTCATTACTGTCTTGTCTTAGGTACTGAGGTAAGTCAAAGAGAATCAGTCAAAATCAGATTCATTAGACATTCAAACTCTCACAAGGCTTTTTTCAAACGAAGCAATTTTTGACCTTACAATTTCTTTCTAATCTTATTTACCTGGAATTTCGAAATTCTGCAAATAATCATTTAGATAGTTAAGCAAATCAAACTTCTTTAATGTCTCATATGAATTTGAAATTAAACCTTAGCTTGACTTGGATCAGCTCAAAATGAAACGAAATCACACAACTTTAAACAGCGGAGAGGCCGAACTCTACAACTTTTTAGGAGGGTCTATTCTCGAAAATAAGGGTTGCTATAACGAGGAAATATAAGGCCAATAACGCCAAACCAAAGTCTTTAACTGACCATGATATTTTGTCTAATTGGGTTAGCTCATTTTGTTACTTTTATTTTTGCGAGTTTTTTAATCTTTGTTCGCTTGTTTACACACCGCACCCTCATTTTTTTTTCGGGCAGCCTCTCTGCTGCTATCATTAAATCATTATTATATAAATGATGGAATCTCATACCGCTATATTAGTTCGAGAGCGACTAGAGGCAAATAGAAAATATATAATGTCCGTGATTCTGTCAAGCAACAATTAAAAGCTCGTCAGCAGTTTTAGGTGGAATTTACAGAAGGTACAGAACAATTATTAAACCCTGTCACAAAAACGAATAAAAGTCTTCTTCCAGCATTATAGTGAACCGCCAAAGCAATCAGAAAAATAGCAGAAAAAACAAAACAAACCCAAAAATGATTCTACGAGAAATTCCGGCTGAAAAAGCCGCAGCTCATGCACAATTACAAGAAGAAATGCAACAAGTACTTCAGATTGTTGATAAAGTTCATAAGGAGGTTGGTGATATAAAGGATCATATACAAATCCAGAGCATGCAAGATTCAGAACAGAAGTTAATGATAAATTTAGCAAAAGAGATATATCCTACATTAAAAATATTGACCCGATAGATTACCTGTGATTTCTTTTGCAAAGTTATGATAATAGTGACGATTTTCTACAACCCGAGCATGCGAAATATCGTGTAAATCAAGCAGACTGGTACAAATGGATATTTTTCATACATCACGGAGCTGACCAGGCCAAAAGTATAAATCCATGATATATTGTATTTATTGATGGGATAAATAACACAACAACAATCACCACTTCGAAGGATTTGCGTCTGCGTGCTCAGAGTAATAAAGAATATGTTCTCGTTTTATTCTGCATTCGCCCCATAATGCATCGGTACCAATCTTTAACAAATCCGCA